AAAAAAAAAATCCCCAAACTGAAACTGGAGAATGTGGATGTTTCCCCTTGGGATTCCACTTCTTCAGGAAAGATGTTGGGCGTTCTTCTCAAGACCAGCTCCCCACAGCAAGTCTCACATCACGACAGAATAATCGTAGTCTATACTTCGGGTTGTGGCGTGCTCCGTGGGCTGGCTCCACTCACACTTCGAGAGGCTCGGCCGGTGTCCCTCGCTCTTGTCACGTCTATGCCACAGCCTGGAGAGCTCCCTCCGGAACTTGACGCCCGCGAAGGCGTACACCAGAGGGTTGAGACAGCAATGGGTCAGGCCCAGGGTGTGCGTGAACAACAGTCCGTAATCCAGCGCCTTTCCCCAAGCGCACGATCGCCCGAAATGACCTTGACGCCGCAGGCTATCCATGAGGAGGAAAGCGTGGTAAGGGGCCCAGGAGAGAACAAAAAGGACCAATATCGCCAGCAGCAAGCGCAGGGCCGGCACCTTGCCAAACAGACGAGCGCGCCAAAGCCGGACTGCGATTCGGCTGTAGCAGAAGAACATCACCAGGACCGGCAACAGGAAGCCGAGGAAGAAAGAGATGAGGCGCAATCCGAGGCGCCAGGACTCCGCTTCCTGGGCCTCGAAGCCCAGATGGCAGACGAACCTTCCGGCCTGGGAGAAGAAGGACACGGTGCGGAAGTGCGACTCCACGGCCGAGAGGCCCAAGGAGACTCCCCAGAGTACGGCGGAGGCCAGGTAAGTATGGAGAAGCTTCCAGCGGTGATAGAGCTGTATGGCGTGGACGATCGCCAGGTAGCGTTCCACGCTGATACAGGCCAGGAGGAAGACGGTGCTGTAGCCGTTCGTGGACGTCAGGGTCCCCAAGAGTTTGCAAAGGCCCTCGCTGAATATCCAACCCCAGGTTAATTCGGCTGCCCAGAAGGGGAGAGACAACACCAGAAGGAGGTCGGCCAGAGCCAACTGGAAGAGGTAACAGTCAGCCAAGAGCCAAGGGCACCGGCGTTTTCCCAAGACCACTGCCACCAGCCCGTTCCCGATCAAGCCGACCACAAAGACCACGGACAAGACCATGGGGCTGAAGATGCGCGTAAAGTTGCCCACCTCGCTTCGGACACACGGGGCCGTGTTGGGGTCAATGTCATCGT